CCTAAGTCCCTTTTTTCTCTCCCCCCCCCACTTTGAACGGTCACTAACTGAACTGTTGTAAGGCAAGGACTATCTCTGTGCTGTAATTAGTGCTCTTTTCTTTTCGGCCCAATTCAAGGCAAAAAAAAATGTATTTTATCCAGGCTGATCCTTGTTCAGGAAAACCAAAGCAGAGTGGGGAAGAAAGAATAAAAACAATCGTTTTTTTAAAAAAAAATTGTTTTGGAAACAATTTCCCAGGGGCTTTGTTGTACAGGTAGTCCTTGACCTACGACCACACCTGAGCCCCAAATTTATGTTGCTAAGTGAGACATTTGGGAAGTGAGTTTCGCTCCGTGTTACCACCTTTCTCCCACACTGTTGTGAAGGGAATCACTGGAGTCATTAAGTTAGTAACCTGGTTGTTAAGTGACTTCGGCTTCCCCGAATTGACTTGGCCGGTCAAAAAGTCACAGAAAAAGGGGGGCACAGCAACAGCCATCATAAATATGAGCCAGTGGGCAAGTGTCTGAATTTTGATAACGCCACAATGGTTATATGTGTGAAAAATGGTCCTAAGTTGCTTTTTTTTCAGTGCCATTGTAACTTTGTGGGTCACTAAACGATCAGTTGTAAGTTGAGGACTACCTGTATCAACCTAGCACAGGATGAACAAGCAGAAAGGCCGTCGTTCTTTTAATCCTGCTTCATTACTAGGACCTATTTTGCAGAAAACTAGCAAAATCCTTCCACTTAAGGCTGAGGATAAAAAAAAAAAATACCACAGCTATTATTTGTATGAAGTATGTTGGCTTGAGAGAGAGTGTGACTCTACAGGTAATCCTCGACTTACAACAGTTCCTTTAGTGGCCATTTGAAGTTACAACGGCATGGGGAAAAAGTGACTTATTACGGCTGTTTTTCAGTTAGAACTTTTGTAGCATCCCCATCACCACGTGATCAAAATTCGGATGCTTGGCAACTATTTCATACTTACGACTGTTGCAGTGTCCCTGAGGTCATGCGATCCCAAAGTCAATGGGGAAGTGAGATTCACTTAACAACCGGGTTAAACTAATAATAAAATAGGGCGAAACTCACTTAACAAATTTCTCAGCAACATAAATTCTGGGCTCAATTGTGGTCATAAGTCGAGGACTACCTGTATTTGTATCACCTCAGAAATCATAAATTATGGCTAAAAAACTGATAAAACAGGCATTTAAATTCCTTCCTTCCACTCTCCCTCCCTCCCTCCCTCCCCGCCTTCCTTCGGTTGAGGATAGAAAATTCTACAGCTATTGTGTGAAGTAGGTTGCTTTAAGATTCACTTAAATGTGCAAGAAAAATGGTAAAACAAGGCAAAACTCAACAAATTTCTCCGCAACATAAATTATGGGCTCAATTGTGATCCTAAGTCAAAGACTATCTATATTTGTATCACCTCAGAAAAGCATTTAATTTCCTTCCCCTTCCTTCCCCTTCCTTCCTTCCTTCCTTCCACTCTCCCTTCCTCCCTCCTGTCCTCCTTCCCTTCCTTCCTTCCTTCCTTCCTTCCTTCGTTCCTTCCTTCCTGTCTCTTCCTTCCTTCGTTCCTTCCTTCCTTCGTTCCTTCCTTCCTTCCACTCTCCCTCCCTCCCTCCTGTCCTCCTTCCCTTCCTTCCTTCCTTCCTTCCTTCCTTCCTTCCTTCCTTCCTTCCTTCCTTCCTTCCTTCCACTCTCCCTCCCTCTCTCCTGTCCTCCTTCCCTTCCTTAGTTCCTTCCTTCTTCCTTCCTTCCTTCCCTCCCTCCCTCCCTCCCTCCCTTCCTTCCTTGGTTGAGGATAGAAAATTCCACAGCTATTATTGTATGAAGTAGGTTGGTCTGAGCCAGAGTGACTGTATTTGCATCACTTAAGAAACCATCAACGATGGCTTACAAACTATGACAAAACAGGCATTTGAGTCCTTTCCTCCCACCCTCCCTCCCCAACACAGCCCATGATGGGCTCATAATCCCACCACCAGCCCACCAGGATGGGGATTAAAGTTGAACCTAACTCTCTCTGCTCTTTGTTAACACCTTCCCTTCCAACATTTCCCCCAACAACTTGCGTTATCGTTTCCTTTCTTCTCACCAGAGAAAGGAGAAAATGGTAAAATAGTGACAACAGCAGTGAGAAGTCCTTGATCTTCCAGATGTGGTGCTTCAACTGCCAAACAGCTGCACCTAGACTCCTCAAAGAAGGTGCTGTGGGCACCCAGTTTCCAGATACCATTTTTCTCAAACTCAGCCAATTTTAAGGCGCTTCGCCCTTCCAATTCCCAGAATTTCCCAGCCAGCTAAGGCCACAGATCTTAAAAGTTGTTGAGGTCGAGAAACATTGAGCTAAGGTATAGCAATAAGCTTACATTTGCTCCAACAAATCAAACAATCCAAAAGGAACAGAAACCTTGTAATGCTTTTTACAAAATAATTAGCTGTGATAAGCACAAGTCTTGCCAAACTGTGCAAGACTTGCCAAAAGATAACAGACAAGAAATAATTTGCAATACAAGAATCTTCAAATACAAACTCAGGATACTGGAATGTCCACGAGACTGGAGTTTCAAAACGTCTTTGCCTTCTGCAAAGTCCGTTTGTTTCACAGCTGGCTTTTATCTTCTTGAAGGAGGGGCCATTACCTTGCAGCCTTACTCCCGAGTCGCCCGTGCTATTGTAGCTGCTTTTTCCTCCTAGCAATCCTGCACGCACACGCACTTGGCACAGGCTCCTCGGGAACCTCCTCATCGCTGCTGCCAGCCCCCACAATCTCTGAAGGCAGCGGTCCATTCCCTAATGGTCCTGGCCCCTCATCTGAGTCCTCACTCCCCACAGCCATCCGTACCTGCTGCCGGCTAACCACAACAAGATCAAAACAATCAGATACAGGTAGTGCTTGACTTATGACCACAATTCATCCCAAAATTTCTAAGTGGCTAAGTGAAATATTGGTGAAGTAAAATGAACCCCATTTTACGACCTTTCTTGTCCCTGTGGTTAAGTGAATCACTGCAGTTGTTAAGTGAGTAACACGGTTGTTAAGCGAATCTAGCTTCCCCCATTGACTTTGCTGGTCAGAAGGTCGCAAAAGGGGATCCTGTAACCCGAGGACATGCAACCCTCATAAATATTGCCAACCCCCTGAATTTTGATCATGTGTCCATGGGGATACTGCAGTGGTTATAAGCGTGGAAAACAGTGATAAGTAAGTCCCTTTTTTTCAGTGTCATCGTAACTTTGAACGATCACCAAATGAAACTGTTGTGTGATGACCTGGGAAGCAGCACACACGTAACAAATTCCCAAACGTAAATAAATGTCCTTTAATGTATCCAACTTGGCCCCACTGTTCAGTTGTTTTCAGTTGGAGATTAAACTCTTTCCAAAATAGTCTCCAAAAGAAAGAAATACAGTCCGAACTTAATGAGCAGATAAAGGAGAAATAAAAAACCAAAACAAACCATACAAGGAATTTCCACGACAGACCAGGATAATTAATTACAAAAATTACAAGAAGATAACAAGGCACAGTCCGTTGGAAGAACGCCAATCAAGATAAACCTCAGCTTTGTTTCTAGCAACGCTGTGTTTTAAATGCGCCTCCTATATACTATTCCCCCAATGAAGGGGATCATGGCTGCTTCCTCTCCCATAAGCCATGTTGTTCCCTTCTCCGTTCCTGTTAGGGATATACACCCTAGCAGAACCTGCACGGCAGTCAGGCAGGCAGGCAAATATGTGAGATAAACGTTTTTGTAGCTTACACTCAGTAAAACAGATACACTGTGCTAGTTAAATAGTTTATTCCAGTAATAGTTGTAGCATAGTCAAACAGTCCATATATCATACACTATTTCAGTCCGTCCGGGGATTAATCAGTTGCAAAGTCCAGTGTCGAAAAAGAGGTCAGTAAACTTACAAATATCAGTCCAGTAATATATCTCCTCGCAGTAAAGATATGAAGAAGTCAAACCTCCTTTCTTCCTTCAGCAACAGCAGAGAACACGCAGTTAACAATCCATCATCGTCAGCAAGCAATCCAGTAAGCCAGCAATCAATCCAGTTCTCTTGCTCCCTCTTATGGCGATTTTACAACCGCACCCAAAAATTACATGCTTTGCAGTTTAAAGTGACACACACTTAAACTCACTATCATAGTTTATATATATTATTTTACCCAAACTACGTTAGGTAACTATTCCTAACAGTTCCTCCCTACGTGCCCTAGGATGAAGAGGGGGTGGACCTGGGTCTTCCTCTGACTGCCCAGCCGGCCTCTGCCCTTCCCCAGCCTCCTCCACAACCTCCGGAGCCCCACCTCCACTCCCTGTCGGCTGTTCCTCCCTCAGAGTCAGTCTCCAACAGGGGCATGACATGTTGTAAGTTGAGGCCTACTTGTCCTGAACCGGCATAGGCCCTCAGCCTACAGCCAGTCACAATGCGATCTACGGTCACACTGAGGGGAAGATACTGTCAACTCATAAAATGTTCCTATGCCTGTTTTAGTAGTTGCCATAAAAAAGGGGGGGGGGGAATCTGGAAGAGCAGTGCAGCAGTTTGAAAGCAAAAGTACATTCCAACTCTTATCTTTAAAATATTGTAACTAAAATACCAGAGCTTTTGCCTGTGAATATATTTAATTGGAGAACATGAATGATGACACCCAGCCCATGAACGTGCTCAATTGGAGAATCTGGTTTATGAGACACCCAGGGAGGGAGAGGGGAAACAGAGTGACAGGGGACTGTAAATTTCGTATGCCAGAGTTGGCTTCACACAGGGCAGTGCCAGTATGTCGCGGCTAATGATTCCTTTTGAAGTTTGGCTCGAGAATCATTATTTCATTAGGGCGATTGCTGGAATCCTGACAGATGCCTCATTTTAGTAAGCGATAGCAATTGTCCCTGATAATTATCCATTGATGAATGTCAACTGACTTTATTTGTATGTCTTTGTGTGTGTGTGTGTGTGTGTGTGTGTGTGTGTGATCCCAGGCATACCCCAAGGATGAAAACGGAAAAGGAAGCTGCAGACAGCCCCACTGCTGAATCTGAGGGGAGCCTCCAGCTTGTGGTGACCGGCATTGTGGGAGAGGATTTGCCTGTACCGATGCCGTCTCAGGTTAAAATGGAACCGGAAGAAGGACAGGTGAATTCTTGGGAGGACCGGTGGCAGAATTTCCTCAAGGAAGCCGAGTCCTCTTGCTCCATGTGGGGGAACATGGACTCCTCGGAAAGCCACCAGGGTCTCCGTGGAAGAAGGATCATCACCGTCCCGCCCGCCTTCAAGCAGGACGAACACCCCAATTCCGAGGAAGCCCATCGCCAGCATTTCAGGAGGTTCTGCTACCAACCGTCCGAAGGACCCCGAATGGCTTGCAGGTGGCTGAAGAAATTCTGCTGGGGGTGGCTGCAGCCAGAGAAACGCACCAAAGACCAGATCCTGGAGCTGGTGATCCTGGAGCAGTTCCTGGAGATCCTGCCTCTGGAGATCCAGAGAAGAATTCGGGGATACGGAGCGGAGACCTGTTCGCTGGCAGTAGCTCTGGCGGAGGAGTTCTTGCTAAAGCAGCAAGAGACGGAGCAGCCGGAAGAACAGGTGAGAAGGCAGGTAGCCCTCGATGTACAGCACTCCATTTGGCGGCCGTTCAGAGTGACAGAAAGATTGAAAAAGTGACTTATGGCCGTTTCTCACACTTATGACCCAAGTAGCATCCCCACGGTCACGTGATTTTACATTGGGATGCTTGGGAATGGACTCAAAGGCCTTCCTAATCAGGGCTGCCACCTGCCCTTCAAATAGGAGTTGTGAGTCCAAGAAGATCCCCCCCCAAAAAAAAAAAAATAAATAATGCACCATTCTTGAATGGGAAAGTGTGACCCATCCAAGGTCAAAGTTGAGGTACCCCCCCCCAATGACCCCTAAGGTTCTTTCTAACGCTAGAGTTGCTTTTAATCTGATTGTTCATGTTTAATATTCTTTAAGGCAAGAAGGGGACGCAAATGGCTCAGTGACTAAGACTCTGTGTCAACTCAAAAGATACTCTTTTGGTCTTTAAAAGGGAGTGGGGGGAAAACAAGGCATTCCTGAAATGCCTAGATAATCACCTCAGCAGCCCAAAGTTGTCGGAGCATCAGAAGGTAATTGCAGAGCATGATGGATGACTCTTGGAGACGGATGTGTCCCATTGGAGAAGTCACATCCAGGGGGTGGGGGAAAGAGCAGGGTCAAAGGGGAAATGTATAATGTGATTTAGAACCAGCTGCACCCAGCAACGCACCAACATGGCAAGTTCTAATAAACCAATTTATTTTTTCTGAGATGCGGCTAGAGACTTTTGCTTTGAATGACGGGGATTTGTTGGAGCCCTGACACACTCAGCTTGCCGATCGGAAAGTTCGGCAGTTCGAATCCCTAGCGCCGCATAACGGAGCGAGCTCCCGTTACTTGTCCCAGCTTCTGCCAACCTAGCCATTCGAAAGCACGTAAAAAATGCAAGTAGAAAAATAGGGACCCCTTTGGTGGGAAGGTAACAGCGTTCTGTGCCCCTTTGAACCTTTACTCATGCCAGCCACATGACCACGGAGACGTCTTCGGACAGCGCTGGCTCTTCAGCTTTGTAACGGAGATGAGCACTGCCCCCTAGAGCCGGAAACAACTAGCACGCATGTGCGAGGGGAACCTTTACCTTTAAGGCAAGAAGAAGCCAGAATACAAGAAAAACGCCCTTGAGCAATACCGTATATCTCAACATTCAACAATAGCTTTTAAATAGCACTAAATTTATCAAAAGAGAAGTTATTGTTGTTAGTTATCAATTAGCCGTTATAGCATCTGTAGCAACATCTGATAAAAATTAGTCTGGATTTCAATTTTAGCAGTTAGAGCTTACCTCAGCATGCCAATTATCTGAGAAAAGATTGTCTGAAAATTTCCACTTTTGAGCAATTCTTAATTTTGCAATCAAGGGTAAAAATACAATTAACTCCTTTTTGGTTAGTTTCAACCGTTCTCCGTCAAAAAAAGGTGTAATAATCCCAACTCTCAAATTCTAATCTTGTGTCTTTTCCCCCCCTTTCTTTCTTTCCCTTCCTTTAGATCCCAAGTCCAGCTGATGAACAGGCTGGAGAATTCTGTGATTCTGGAGAGCCTTCGGTGGGGACCCCAGAGAGACCTCCCTATAAAGAGATGAAACTGGAGGGAAACGAAGACGCTTCCTTATTAGGTCAGGATTTTCTGTTCCTTCAGCTCTGGATTCTGGGTTAAGAAGACCAAATACCTTTTAGAATCCTTTTTAGAGTAGTGATTGGAACGTGTGTTCTGTTTAACTGTGCTTGATTGTTGGCTTTCAATTCCCGGATTTTTTTGTGATTGTCAATCCAATATGTCAGTGTTCCAAGTAATGGACCCATCGAACTCCGAGGCAGGTAGATTCCTCAAAGAACAGGTTTATTGGATATACCTTATTGTTAAGGTAAAGGTTCCCCTCGCACATACGTCCTAGTCGTTCCCGGCTCTAGGGGGCGCTGCTCATCTCCGTTACAAAGCTGAAGAGCCAGCGCTGTCCGAAGATGTCTCCGTGGTCATGTGCCCAGCATGACTAAACGCCGAAGACACACGGAACGGTGTTACCTCAGGTGGCTTTTACCTCAGGTGGCTGTTACCTTCCCACTAAAGTGGTCCCTATTTTTCTACTTGCATTTTTACATGCTTTCGAACTGCTAGGTCGGCAGAAGCTGGGACAAGTAATGGGAGCTCACTCCATTATGTGGTGCTAGGGATTCGAACCGCCGAACTGCCGACCTTTCTGATCGACCAACTCAGTGTCTTAGCCAATGAGCCACCGCGTCCCTCCTTATTGATTCAACTGGTGAAAACTGACTTTAAAATTTCCCGCTGTTTTCACTTAATTAAAAACTAAAAAGTTCCCCCCCTCCATCCCCAGTCAGTCACATTATCCAATGGGGTGCTGGCTGGTTGCTTGGTTACTCCACTCCTCCTGTCTCAGCCACCTGATGAAATGACCTTGGTTCCCACAGGAAAACTTTCTGACGGCCAACCATGAAGCAGCAAAAAGATGGCTTCAGCAAGGTTCACTTCAGGGTTGACATAATACATGTTAGCCTGTCCAGTTAGGGCAAAAGGGTTAACCTTTCCATTTTCCTCTTTTTTATTGTTTATTTTTAAATCTTTCTAGGCGGCAGAGATCATGGCTGAGGGTGTCACTTAGGGGTGTGACTCACGTTTTGGGTTTGCCCTGTGTGCAGGGGTGGGATGCTACCGGTTCTGGCCGGTTCTAAAGAACCGGTAGCTCTGAAGAGCAGCAGACACCAAACCGGTTCTGTGTTTGCTGCTGTTTGGCTCACCCGCCCGCCAGGGCTCCTATCTGTCCTTTATTTCCTGCTTTTTCAACCTCAGCTGCTTTGTGCGGCACAACTGAGGTTGAAAAAGCAGGAAAAAAAGAGGCTTTTCAGCTGTCCGGGTGGCGCAACCAATGTTTTTTTTGCGCGCGCAAAATGTAGTCCCCGAACTGATAGTAATACCAGTTGAATCCCATCCCTGCCTGTGTGTCTGTTTGCATATGTGCTTTATTCATGCTATTTATTTAAATATTGACATTGTTGTGT